AGGAAAATCTCCGCACAGTAGTAATGACTAATGATGAGTAAATTGTAAAGCGGAAATTTAAGGATAAAAAAAAGTTTGAAGCAGAAAAGGGAAAGTTGGGTGTTGAGAAAGGAACATATTAGGCGGCTACATGGTGATGAGAAAGATAAAAGCAAATAAAATAAAACTAGATACAAAAAGACGAAGATAAAAATGCAAAAGTGAGTTAAGTAAGTTGAAAGGAAAAAAGTTGCAAAAAAAGTAGTGAAAAGGTTGAGGAAAGAAGAAGTCCAGTTTGATAAAATGATAAACAGAAACCCACAGAAGCTAGAACGAAGAAACATAATTCTTGAAATTACGGCGTTTTCAAAAAAATTATTCTTGTTTTATAAATAACTAAAGCTATACGTAATCTTAAATTTCTGTTTTATTGTACTTAAAAATCATGAAATTTAAATTAATTTTAGTTTTTTTTTGTGTTTCAAAATAAAAAAGTGCCCTGTTTTTTAAGAATTTGTCGTTTTTTTACCTTTGTCCTGCGAATTCAAATTTTGCACTGACAACCCTAGATGTACTTGAGAGAAGAAAGATGAAAGGAAAGAATGTTAGCAATATTCAAATGTGGAAATGAACAAAATGGAATGAAGACAGAATAAAAGGAAGAGACAGGAAAAGAAGCTGACAAGTTTATAATGGAATACCGTATTATGTTTTTATTATTATAGCAATTTTCCTGGACCTTTGCTTAGTTGATAAAAAAATAAATAAATTATATACAGGATGTTCCGTCTAAACTCCACATTAGAAGTATTGAGAGTTGGAATAATCGTATTTATTTGAAAATTGGTATACAGCCATAAACCATTATGTTCTACTAAATGAAAATATTTTCAAGATGGCGGTACTTCCGGTTATACCGGAAGTCGGTCTTAACTTTTTTCTTTTAAATGGAAAGGTATATTTTTTACTGCGTTTTTGGATTAATCGGGTTATTTTAAGGGAGTTTTCATCAGTTTTCTCTATATCTAAATTCAGCCGTTTTTGAAATATTTGGAGTTTTTCAAAAATTTTTGGATCTGCACCTTCCACTTTAAAAATCGATAACTCTGCCATTTTTTAAGATTTTGAATTCGTTTTTTTGGCGTTTGAAAGAGAAGGCTTAGATCCTTTTTCTGGTGTTTTCAAATTAAAAAAAAATATAATATATCCCAAAATTTTAAGGTTACTTTTGTAATAATTCAAATAAATTTAATAATTTTCAAGTGATGTACTTTTTGTTAAGACTACAGAAAATTTATTACTAGCCACACTCGTTTTCACATAGTTTGCTATGAAAATCAAAAATGTCAAAATTGTTTCTCAATAAACGTCAACAGTAAATTACTATTTGACAAATAGTGCCAAAATATGAAGAATCAAAGTTATGCAAACTTAATTATTATTGATAGGGTCTGCTATGCGATCATTATTTAAAGCTAACAAGTGAGAAAAAATTATTTTTGTTTAATGAACGACATCATAATTTTGTTACACTCTCCATAAATACAAAATAAATTAATTAAATCTAAGTTTGAGTAGCTTTGACTCTGCATATTTTGGCACTATTTGTCAAATAATAAGTCACTGTCGACATTTATTGAGAAACAATTTTGACATTTTTTATTTCCATAGCAAACTATACGAAAACGTAATAGATTTTCGACAAACTTAACAAAAAGTCACCATAACTTAAAAATTATTAAATTTAGGTATAGGGAATGTTAAATACAGATCGATGCACAATTAAATTCTCTTCCATTTAGTTAAGTAAAAATTGGGGTGTTTCATTTGGAAAAATTGAGTTATGGGTATTTGAATTATTACACAAGTAACCTTAAAATTTGATGGTTTGTTAATTTTTTTTCAAAATTTGAAAACACCGGAAGAAAGATCTAAACTTTCTCTTTCAAACCCAAAAAAACGAATTCAAAATTTCAAAAAATAGCAGAGTTACCGATTTGTAAAGTGGAAGGTGCAGATCCAAAAATTTTTGAAAAACTCCAAATATTTCAAAAACGGCTAAATTTAGGTATAGGGAAAGCTGATGAAAACTCTCTTAAAATAACCCGATTAATCCAAAAACGCAGTAAAAAATATAGCTTTCCATTTAAAATAAGAYAGTTGAGACCGACTTCCGGTATAACCGGAAGTGCCGCCATCTTGAAAATATTTTCATTTAGGAGGACTTAATGGTTTATGGCTATATACCAATTTTCAAACAAATATGATTATTCGAACTCCCAATACTTTTAATGTGGGGTTTAGACGGAACCCCCTGTAGACAACACAGTCAGTGGGTACTAAAACCCCATCATTAGTATGTAAAATAGTGAAATAATATTCCGTCGCGTCAAATTTGCGTAATGTGTCCGAACGTCGTTCGTTTCGTATTGGAAGAGAGAGGGTTAGTTGCAAGGACCCTTCGTAACCGGATATGTTTACCAGAAAGCTCGATCCGGAGTCCCAATCCATGAATAACAATGCGACCGATTCCGGGGTGCACCGCTTCAATCATCTTATCGGCAAAACATATCGCGAACATGTGGATGAAATCCCAACTCGACCCCAACCAAACAACACCCCGATATGATATCAAATAACTATTTTGCTTTGCAGTTTGATCACATTTGAATATTTTCTTCCAGGGTCTAACCTTTACCTGGCTGCGATGCGGAAGGATTGCTTCGCAGGTTTTGTAATGGCATACGTGGATCACATAACAAAGCAACTCGAGCGGTGACAATTATTAAATTACTTGTCACAGAAAACAAACAAACATGTTCCAATAAATTAAGAAACATTTGTGTAAAAACTTTAAAAAAATTAAATTAACTTAGGAATGTTTGTAAAATTGAGAATCGTTTGTTTTCTATTGTTGTTAATTTATCTATATATTTGCTCTGTTTTATTATATGCAACCCAAAATACGCATAGTGTATTTCTGTTGGTATCACCAGAGGACGCCCTAACATGCTAAAAATTTCTGTTATGATGCTACTGTTGTTTCTTTAACTGATTGCTAGAGGTCGCAACAAAGGTTACATTACGCTTAAAATTTTCTTATCTTACTTATCTCTTATCAATCTTATCACAGATGCAAAAAAGTATTCATTTTGTTATCTTTACAAATGCAACACAAAAATTTTATAGTCTTACAGCTTATACTTTCTAGCTGTATTAGTTTTTGTGATAATCTTTTTTAAAAGTATGGTTTTGCCAAAAAAACAACTTATTTCAAAAACTAAGCAAAATCGACCGTTAAAAGTTTAACTTGAAAACATTTTAATAAAAAACTACATCTGAACATGCCAAGAAACATAAGTTTGTATTGTAACTCATTTTTAGACCACGCTGTATAATTAAAAATAATTTTTAGCGATACACTAGATTAGTATCAATTTTGTATATGATTTTTTGTTAATTTTAAAGATCAATAATGAACTGTACCAACTCGCTGATACACCCTGTATAAGTATCTCAAAAACTACAAACATTCGGATAAGACAAGTATAGTTTCTTTGACTTCCTTTAAGCTCTACTATTTATCTCTACAATTTTTTTGCGCAATTTTTGTGATTACATCTATTTTATACCTACTAAATTTTTTTCTTCTAAACTCTAAAAAAAAAAATTTTTGCTCAATTTTTTGCGACCTCCGAAAATTTTTTGTTTAATTTTTTTTGATTCGATAGTAATATTTTAGTTTGTTAAATTTTAAATTTTTAATTTAGTTTAGATTATTTATTCGCTCTAAAATCGATACGGCTATTGCGGCTATTTTTCTGTGTTCCTAGCCTGTTTTTTACTCTATTTTTTGTGATCACGCGATTTTTTATTTAATTAAATTTAAAATTTTTTAGTTAATTAGTTTAGTTAATTTATCTGCTATTAAATCCAAGCAACATTTTCGCAAAATCACAATTGATTTTTTTACTTAATTCTTTGTTCCAATGATCGGTTTTTGCTAAATGTTTTGTAAACACCTGAGATTTTTTGGTCAATTTTTTGATCCAATAGTATACGTACATATGTATTTTAGTTTTGTTTAGTTTAAAATTTTTAATTTAGTTTAGATTATTTATTCGCTATAAAATCTATACAAAATTTTGGTCCAATTTTTTGTGTTGATAGCCTGTTTTTTGCTTTATTTTTTGTGACCATTTAAGCTTTCTTGCTCAGTTTTTTGTGACGACGTCAGATTTTTTGCGCAAGTTTTTGTGATCATAGCCTGTTTTTTGCTATATTTTTGTGATCACGCAATTTTTTGGTTTAGTTAAATTTAAAATTTTTATTTTAGTTTAGTTAATTTATCTGTTATTAAATCCATACAACATTTTCACCTATTATTTTTGTAATCACGATTGATTTTTTTACTTCCAATGATCGTTTTTTGCTGAATGTTTTGTAAACACCTGAGATTTTTTGGTCAATTTTTTGATCCGATAGTAATACGTGCGTATGTATTTTAGTTTTCTTTAGTTTAAAATTTTTAATTTAGTTTAGATTATTTATTCGCTATAAAATCTATACAAAATTTTGGTCCAATTTTTTGTGTTGATAGCCTGTTTTTTGCTTTATTTTTTGTGACCATTTAAGCTTTCTTGCTCAATTTTTTGTGACGACGTCAGATTTTTTGCGCAATTTTTGTGACCTTAGCCTGTTTTTTACTACATTTTTCACGCAATTTTTTGATTTATTTAAATTTTAATTTAGTTAATTTATCTGCTATAAAGCCCATTCAACATTTTCGTCAAATTTTTTGTAACCACGTCTGATTTTTTACTTAAATTTTTGTTCGAATGATCTATTTTTGCTGAATGTTTTGTAAACACCTGAGATTTTTTGGACGATCGATTTTTTTGGTCAATTTTGTCTTTCCAAATTATTTGAAGGTAAAAAAATTGTATTTTGTGAATTAAAAACATTGGGGCAACTGTAGTGAGAAGGATTTGTGGAAAATAACACAAGAATTTACACTTAAATTTTAATTTGACATAAGATTAGGTAGCTGATTGGGTTTTTGAACACATATTTTGACAGTAAAACTGCAATGTATAGTACTATTCAATACTTATTCATCTTATGTACTTACATAATAGTATCAATAAACAGTTTGTCATTTAACTAACATAAAGTGTACTTATATACTAAGTCCAGTCATACCTCATTTTGAGCCGTAATGGGGTATGACCGTTTCTTTACAATCATATTTCTTCCCTTTTCTTCGTATCTTCATTTCTTCGTCTCACTAACGTACGATTGCAACAATCGTGCGTTTAATAAACTTCATTAAAACAACTTTCAAATGAGAAACATTATTGTATTTTGTGTAGAGTGTATCCTATAGACTAGAACGTGAAAATGGAAGTTGCTTTAACGATTTTAATTTTCTCATCGTTGGAAACAAAACCAAGATAACGTGTAATAAAATCAAGTAGCAAATAACATACTTAGAGCATTTTTTAACAACTAACACGTAATAATATTGCTAGACATTAAATTTAGGGTTACAGCTATTATGGCATAACAATTCAACTATTGCTAAAAATTAAATCAGAGCTCCGGGAACAGAATTTGGCAATTCCAGCGTTGGGTAAACCAAAACTTGATATGTTGCAAACGCTGCAACGTGCCAATAACATTTAAGAATTGCAAAAAACATGTATTCATTGTTTGTTATCAGTACAACCTCTTTAGAATATTTTCACTAAAATAATCAAATGAAAAATGTCCATCTCGTTATAACATTAAACTACAAAAATTCTAACTCTACGAAATTATTATCCCATTCACTAACACAAAACCAGTACGGTCCTGGATTTCGAATGACTACAAAATTAAAATAACCAACATTAGTCTACACCCTAGACTTTTGTAAGGTTGGTGCCACCGTCGTGACCAACCTGACAAAAATAAATCCCAATAAAAGTCAGGCGTAGATTTATTACAGATTATTTCCAAGCACCGCGTCTTATTTTTATCACTAACTTTTCTATCACAACATTTAGAATTTATTAAAGTGTCAATCATAATAAAGCTCTGTACCAAAAATGCCCTATTATGTAATTCATTTTTTTTTATCTAAAACATTTAAATACAAAAAGCAGTTGCTTGGAACGTTTCTGTTGAGCAACAAAATGAAATTGAAAACAGCGTCAAACGAAAAGTCCCTAAATTTATCACTAAAACACATTGAGCGATTTTTTTCTCACTATAAGGTAACAATTTGCTAAGAAATCTTAGCTCACAATCTTTGTTACTACGGCACGAATAGTCAAAGAAAAAACACCAAAAACTAGAAATGAGAACTAAATCGTCCACTAGTCACAAAACGAAAATCCCTGACTAAAGATTCGTGTGAATTGACTTAAAAAACCTGTCGCATGACAGTTTGTGTATCACTTTTTACACAATTTCATATTGTCTTAACAATAATTACCTAATTCAAAAAATAAATATGAGAGAGGGTTTTGTCGAATTTAGAACCAGTTTGCTACAACCAAAACTGGTTCGATTGCGTATTTTTCGATAAAATCCTCTCTGGTATACCTACCTATGACCTTTAGTTCTTCTTTAGTGTGACTCGAAGACTAAATGCGTTCGTCTTTAGTATCTGTCGAAAAAGAAAAATATCTCACTCCCAAAATTTCTCAGCAAACACTACCACACATCTCGTTACAACATAAAATCAGGTATTTTGGGAGAAAAAGACATTTTTCTTTCACTCTTTATGTTATAACGAGATTGAACTACTTGACTAGAACTACGATTTAACTAAGCATGCAGTCGAATCAGAAACGAATTTAGTTTCGGAGCCCTCGACCTATTTTGACATTTAACCGGAACAAAAAGAAGTGGAGTTACACGAATGTATAGATTTTCAAAAAGGGTGCCATGCAGGTAGATAATTGACTGGGTTATAAGGGCCTAATGTGCGTTGATGATTATAAATGTTGATATTTTTGTAGTTAGCATAAGATTGTCTACGACAGATTTTAATCAAATTGATTTAATTTAATTTGTTAGAGGAGTTGGAGCAAAATCAATAAGTTTAATTGAATGCCAGAATTATTGTCACAATTGCAACAAATCTGTTATTCTAAATTTGTAAAAATATTTTCATTTATTTTAATTTAAGTTTAGTCTTTTGATCAGTTGACAAAATGTTCCGCTTGTTAAAAAACAAAAAAAATTAAGCAAAAAGCAAAGTTAACTTTTTTATTTATTTTTAGTCTAATTATACTTTATGTGAACATACCTTTTAACAATATTATTTAACAGAAAATGGTTAACGAGGTAGGCACATTATCATCTATAATAATAATTTATTTGTGCATTTTATGATTTTAATTCTTGTCTCATAGATAACTTTCACTAAATTCGATATCTGATTGACTGCACCTCGACGATCGCGTATATATTGAAAGACCACCCCCGAAGGCGGAATCGGAGGTGCCGGCGTCTGTAATGAAGTCCGCCACGATAAGCGTCTCCTTACCTTGGGTCAACGTCGAAGGCGTCACACCACTCTTGGCCTCTTTTTCCGCCAATTTCTCTTTCAACAGTTTAATCTTCTCCTCCTTCTGTAAAGAGATGGACAGTTTGATTATAAACACATATGAAGCTACTATTAAACTATAAAAATATTTTGATTATTTCATCAAAGAAATTTTTTATTAAATAATGTACAAATAATGTATATAGGCTGTATTATGAAAAACGCCCCAAGCCATAACTCCATTATTTTTAAAGTTATGACAATACTTCTTAACAAAGTTGAACATTTTTTGTCATCTATCGTTTGGAATAGATGCTAAATTAATGCTGTTTTCTGTTTCACCGGAAATGACATCAACTTTATTTTTTTTAATGGAACACCCTGTATATTTTACCACTTTTGGATTCTTTGTTTAATTGTCTTTTAACAAGTTTTAGTACCATGTGCCTAAAACCAACCGTTCATGAGATATGAGTCAATTAAAAATTTATTAAAGTGGACAGTGGACAACAATAATATTAAGTAATGTTGACAAATATTATTACTTTGCATTTTCTTTTATTATTTTTATACTTTTTGGTGTTTTGGTGATAAAGTGTTAACAGACATGATTCAAGAATATTTTGAAAGCAATAAAAATAGTTGGAGACCACAACGCCTTTACACTCGGCGGTTTCCAATAAGAGAAGTTCCAATTCGTCAACCTGAAGAAAATTTGAGGATGTTTGGGTTTTTTAAAAAACCCAAATTAGAACAATTGCGTGCGATAAGCCAACGTTACTTGCAATTTCTTGAATTCATGTTCTTGCATTTTCTTCAATACCTATCTAATTCTGTATCTCTTTGAAATTGGAGATGTTTTAATTTGGGTTTTATAAAAGCCCAAAACAGTCTCAAATTTTCTTTAAGTCGCTTAAATTTTCGACGATTTGGAACGTCTCTCATCAGAAATCACCCAGTGTAAAAGCGTAGTGCTCTCCCACAATTTTTATTTTATTCAAAATATGTCTGTTAACACATTATCATCCATGATTAACATTAAAAAGTATAAAAACAGTAAGAGAAAATGTAAAGGAATAATATTTGTCAACATTACTTGATATTATTGTTTTCCATTGCCTACTTTAATAAACACATTATTTGGTGAATATCTCACGAACGGTTAGTTTTAGGCATATGCTACTAGAACTTGTTAAAGAACAATTAAACGAAGAATTCAAAAGTGGTAAAATATACAGGGTGTTCCATTAAAAAAATAAAGTTGATGTCATTTCCGGTGAAACAGAAAACAGCATTAATTTAGCAACTATCCCAAACGATAGATGACAAAAAATGTTCAACTTTGTTCTAAGAAGTATTGTCATAACTTTAAAAATAATGGAGTTATAGCTTGGGGCGTTTTTCATAATACAGCCTGTATATGTACAGGCTGCGCCAGAACTCGCGCCCCGCAGAAAATTTTCAAGTAAAGTAAGATACCAGGAACATAAAAAAAATGTTTAAAAAATTCAATCTGTCAAAAAAATTTGACATTTGACATTTTTTTTATATCTATTTAATGATACTGATGATTTTGTATATGTTTTTTTACAATTATTTAGTAAAGGGACAAAAATTTTTTCCAATAAAAGCCACAAATAACATTGAACAATTTACAATACAATTTAGGATACAGCTTCCTTATTTCCTCTTTTAATAGCCTATAGCAAAAAAACTTGGAAAATTATTTTTCCAACAGAAATAAATAGAGTCANTATAGCAAAAAAACTTGGAAAATTATTTTTCCAACAGAAATAAATAGAGTCAAAGTGCAAACTTTAAACCCTCATAACTTCGAAATTCTTATAGATAATTTTTTTTTAACATTTTTTCCATGTTCCTGGTATCTTACCTTATATGACATTTTTCTCTGGGGCGCGAGTTCTGGCGCACCCTGTATAATGTAATAAATAATTTAAATAATGGGTGTAAAAATACTATTGCAAATCTTAATCATTTCAATATACTTATAGCAAAAAAAATGTGAACCTGCATTGAGTTTAATGTGTAATTAAAAAAAAAAACGAACTTAGAAAGGACATAACAAAAAGAGCGTTTTTTCTGTATGCTTTACTGATTCATTTATTCCCGCCTCACTCCTCAGAACTTAGAATCAGGCAAAATTATTCTGTAGTGGTAATGAAACTAAAATTATACAGTGAGCGCTAAAAATATGGTATAATTTTATTGAAAATGAACATATTTTGTTTTGGCAAAAATGCTCATCAAACAACTCAATTTTCTTTTTAAAAAATACACAATTTTCAACTTAATTTAAAATTTTACACTTTTTGGTTTTTAAGTAATGGACGTCATAGACATTGTTTGTAAATCAAAACCCTAATATTTTTTAGCCAATTCGATAAATCTTTCAATTGTCAAATGACAACAACAAAGTATTAAATATTTGGAACAAAAATATTAAATAATACATAAAGTTATCAAAAAATCACCAAAAAATTAAAATAATATCAACAAAAGTAGTATACTTATTAAAGAACACGTTTCGTAAAGCAAGTTTTGTGAAACGAGTTCAGGATTTCGAAAGCACGGGTTTTATAAAGAACGAGTTACCGCAAATGTCTTTTTTATGCTGTCTTTCTTATTTTTCGCGTTTTTCAAAATTTAAGAACTTTTGCTCTAATAAGGTGGTGATTGGTAGTAAATGTCACAAAACTTTCAAAATATGATTTTCAAGTGTCAAGTCTCAAAATTTTGTTGAATTAACAATGAATACTGCAAATATTTCATGCACACCACCAGAAATCAGAGAAATCGCTCAAAAAACCGCTGAAAATTTATTAGATTCTGCTAGTCTATTTCAGCACCCGAATTGGTCTTGAAATGGCTCATTAAAGCATCGGTATTGGTATCGAAATAAGCTTTCCTTAGACGAAAAATAGAAAAACAATTTTAAATCAAGTTGAGAATTTTGTAATTTTTAAAAAGAAAATTGACCTGTTGAGAAAATTTTCATCAAAACAAAATATTTTCATTTTTAATAAATAAGGTTATTTCATAATTTTGCCGATGACTGTATTTTAGAAACAGTCAAATTAAACATTCGAATTTTGTATACACTTATTTTCGATGTTGACATAAATCAGAAATTCAAGGGTTTTTAATTTTTTTATTTTGTAAATTGCGGCAAAACTGTACCTCAAACGTTGTAATGTTTTTAAATATACATAATTATGTAAAATGTCCCGAAAAATCGCTTGGCGTCGAGAAAACTGCAACATTTTTAATCGAGTTGAAATAATATTTTAGATATTTCTGACTTTATCAGCAATTTTCTCGTCAACTATTTAACGTAGAACAAAAATCTTCTTTTATATGATAAAAAATTAAATTTGCTTTCCAACGGTATCGAACAAAAAAAAATAGCATCAATAATTTCAACCGCTTCAGATATCGAAAATCGCCCAAAATTTCGTCAAAAATCGAAAAAATTAAAAACTACACAATCGAACCATTTGCACTTTTGAAGGTACAAAAAAATTCAAAAAATTAATTTTTGAAAAATTTTGTGTCTGTATGAATATTATATTAAATTAAAATATTGAGACTGTCGGTGGCGTAGTGGCGTAGCGGCATACAGTCCCCCTTTTTGGCAGGTAGGTCCGGGGTTCGAATCCCACTCAAGTCAGCAATTTTTCATTAATTCAAATTTAAATACTAATTCAAACTAGCAGTAAAAGATGACGGGCTCATAAAAGCCCGTGGACATATTTTTAGTACAATAGAAGAGCGTAAAAAAGCAAATAAGAAAGAATGCAAAGCATAATAAGAAAGAGAAAGAACATAAGAACAAATAAGTGAAAGCATAAGTAAAGAAAAACGCATAAAAAAGCATAAGATTCGTTGTCATGATTGAATATAAAAAAGTCCAAGAGTCTAGAAAATCTAAATTATGCTCGCTTTTAGGTGCTTAATATAATTTTTATTTGTTAGCTAAAATTGGCCATAGGGAGAAAATAATTACTATACCTGAGAAATGAGTCGTTGCAAGTCTTCATTCTCATTCAAAAGTTTCTGGTAACGCTCTTCATCTTCTTTCGAAATTCCAGCGTCTGGATTGTACTTGCTTTCAGCCTTATCCTTTGGGTGTCGGATTACTTCAATCACCTGTGGTAATTAAAACTTAGATAAAACAATGTTATCGCAATTTTGTTTACCTTAGGCACGAAAATAAGCGCCATACTGAGAAAACAACAAAATACTATGGCGAGAGCAACAAAGGCAAAACTAGCGTCTTGCTGACTCCCTATGACCATAGTCACCGGTGCAGTTATCAAACAAAGTATCACCACATTGTATATACTCATCCCAACGTATCTAGAATCGTTTATCTGCTTCACTTTCACAGACCGTGTCTCATATGCGAGGAATAACCCAAATATCTGAAAACACAAAGATTTTGAGTCGTTCTAGTGGAGGAGTTTCTAGTCTTTCTTACCAAAACCAAGCCCTTATAAGCGTAGATAACAGACAACCAAACATTGTTATGGTGACTTTCGCAGTGTTCCAACTCGGGTCTTATCTTTGAATCATCACTTGATGACTCAGGGTCTTCCAAGGGAAATTGCTCGATGCGTCTTTGCAGAGGATCGTGGAGTTGCCAAGCTACCATTATCACAAAATCTACCACCAGTAGGCCGGAGACCATCGAATACAACTTCCACGGCTCAACCTTTTTCTGGCAAAAATAATAAAAGACACAATTGATTTATTCCAAGAATTTTTGGTTATACAAACAACGAACTTGAAGAACGCTTCCATAAAAAAAATCTTGTGTTATTAGTTTTTCTGTAATAAATTATTGTCAAAGAAATCAAACATTATTTTCTCTTAGGTAAAGTAGAAGTACAGCCAAAATTTTCACATTGCAATGTTTTTGTTATTTTTTGTCGAATTTTGACAAATTTTTCTTTGGCTTAAAGAAACAATTTTGTAGATCATTGTGATTTCATTCAATAACATTTCTAGTTTTGTCTTATAAATGTGATACTCAAAAGATGAAAGCGCTGTTTTTTACTTATTTTTATACTGAGCTGTGGTGTGCGACAGAAACAAACTTACATTTTTACTGATTTCAGATTATGGCCCATTCTTTTCTGAATTGTGTACTACATTTTCGATAATTTCTAATAATAATAATAATTTCATTACATTTCCAATTTCAACGAATGCTCATATTAAGTAGGCCAAATGTGCCAAAACGTCAAAACAGGCCCATGGTAGCTTCCAATAATTAACGATTTTACTTGTTGTAATCCCTTGAAGTTCTAAGTTTTTCAGATTTTTTGTGTTCAAAGACGTAATTGTGCTCTTTTATAATCAATAATTTTCGGTTTAACTACCTTTTTATGTAGCCTACTAAAGAACGGGCAATAATCTGAAATAAATAAAAACTAAATTTTGTCTCTGTTGCACAAAAAAAAAACTCTCGTCTTTTGGGTATAACATTTACAACACAAAACTAGAAATGTTATTAAACTAAATTACAATGTTCTGCAAAGTACGTTGTTTAAGCCGAACAAAAATTTGTCGAAATCCGACAAAGAATAACAAAAATAAACAAAAATTTGTCGAAATGCGACAAAGAATACCAAAAAATATTGCAATGTAAATAATCGCAAAATTTTAGTTGTCCGGATAATTTTGGCGGCCAATTTTATTCTAGAAATGGTAATATTATTTGTTTTTTTTTATCTTACTCTGTGTAATAATGGTTAGTTGGTGATTTTTTATCTTATTGGTAAAAAGTTAATATACCACAACTTTTTTTTTCGTTTTCAAAAAAGTTTAAGGTTGACAACATTGAATTCACCTCTCTTTTTTCAAATATTAACCAATAAAATAGCAGATATTTACTTTTGTATTTTAGCAACAGCAAATTCAACTAAATATTTCACTTGTAAATACCGGGTGCGTCATCGGTTACGCGCATTGATAAATCGCGACTTCTAATTAATTAAAACTGGCAATATTTCATATACCTAATTAATTACTGATAGGGTATATTTTGAGAATTTTTCCTAAATTTTTTCGATAATAAATAAGGCCGTAACAGTTTTGTGTGTTTTATGAATACTTTCTGTTAATTTACCTATACATTTTTACACTAACCTGCTAGCGCATCAAACTTTGATATCACAATTTCAAATTTTGACTTGGTTGGCCAAATAGTCGCTTTTTTATTTAAACACAAACCAGACCCGTGATTTATGACAAAATGGTATAATTTGCCAGCAAAAGAATCATTTTTAAAAGGTCATTTTTTGGAATCTTACCCTAATTGCAGTTCCCCATTGTCACCTAAATTTACGAAGGCACAAGTAGCAGTTCACAAATAAAAATGATTTTCAAAGTTAAGATGGAAAATTGTGTTTAAGTCAAAATCCAATTGGTATTTTTTTCTGATTTTGTAAGCAATTGTAAGAAGTGAATCTGCGTAGGTCAGTATAAAAATTAGAATCAAACTTTTAGGGAAAAAATTACTTTTTGTTTTTTTTGGCTTTGTTTGTAAATGAAAAATTACCAAAAAATTAGGGAATGTATCTTACCAATGCCCAGGTAAGTGTGAAAAAAATCAACAATTTTATTTATTTAGAAGTGGGGTATTCTGTTCTGCGTGTAACATATGCCGCACCCGGTATAACTTGATACTCCAACAGTTACAGTGAATATTTTAAATTAACTTGATTATTTATTGGTTGCTATGAAAATGTAATTATGTGTAACGCAAATTTGCCATTTGGTTCATTGAAAAGTCTGTTGAATACAATTCGTAGTCAAAGATTGTAGAATATTTTTATTCACGCTTGCGGACATCATTCGTGCTGCGCACACATGATGTTCATAAAAATATTTGACAATTGTTATATTGTACAGGGTGCTGCATTTTGGATGTCCGAATAGGGAATCTCCGAAACTAAGAGGTTTAGCCAAAAACGAGTAATACATTCTGGGGCGCATTTTTTGAGAAAATAATATTGGTTAAAACCGCATCCCGCTATCGTCTTTTGTTTTCGACTTATAGACAAAAATTGACATTTTAGCGAAATCTAAAAAAATTCATATCTTCGTTATTATAGAAGACACAGATTTCAAATAAAGACATTATACAGGCACTTTTTTACGTAGAATTTAATAATGTAGTTAACAATTTTTTTCAGTTGTTTGTTTAGCCGTAATAAAATAAACTCGTATTTTTTTAAATGGGAATCATAGATGGCTGTCATTTTTAAAAAGCTTGTTTTTTTCTTATCTAAAAAATATATGTTTGTAACAAATTATAATAATACATTTTTATCAAAAAATTATCTTTGATTTTTGTCCGCAGTTGGCCATGAAAAAATGTTGCATCTTCAACCAAAAGGATTTAAACTATATTATATTCAACCAGTGTCACTAATGAAAGAGTTTTCAAAGTACTAAGTAATGGAAAAGATGCAAAATAAATTGTAAATCAACTTATTGGCGACTAATAACATTTCTTTGTTTTTAAACAAGCTAACATTACCATTGCAACTTCTAGTGATACATAGTGTGTTGTAAAAAAAAAGCCGCTTTAATTCTTCAATAAAATATATTTTATGACACAAAAATGACGATATCGCTATTGAAATACCCAAATTCCGTCTATGTGAAACGTTATCCTACCTCCATTAGATCATCAAAAAAATGTTTTTTCTAATTGTGTTGACTGTTGACACATTTGTTTTTCCTATTTTTGGATTTTTTAAAAATATGTAATAATTTTGTTCTGAGGCGCTCTCATATTTGTTCAATGCTTCTACCGTATCGTATTTTTTAAATTTTTATAATTTTGTATATTTTTTCATCTATTTTACAGATCACAAAACTCTTATTGATTATTATTTACACATTTGGAGTGAAATAGTTTTTCCATGGCCAACTATTATCACACAAAATATGTATTTCACTTTTTAAGTATAGTTATAAAAAATATTTTGTTACAAATATATATTTTTTAGATCAGAAAAAATAAGCTTTTCAAAATTGCCATAGCCGCCTATGATTTCCATTTAAAAAAATAAAAGTTTATCTTATTACGGCTAAACTAATAACTGAAAAAAATTGTTAACTACATTATTAAATTCCTCCTAAAAAAGTGCCTGTATAATGTCTTTTTTTCAAATCCGTATCTTCTATAATAACGAAGATATGAATTTTTTTACATTTCGCCAAAATGTCAACTTTTGCCTATAAGTCGAAAACAAAAGACGATAGCGCCGATGCGGTTTTAACCAATATTATTTTCTCAAAAAATGAGCCCCAGAATGTATCACTCGTTTTTGGCTAAACCTCATAGTTTCGGAGATTCCCTATTCGGACATCCAAAATGCAGCACCCTGTACATATAAATTTTTACTCTTGCAATCACCGTCCCTCGGAAATAACAATTAACTATAAAATTGTGACTAAGATTTCAAATTTGTGGCCTCTGACGACAAAAATCATTGCTAACTTGGTTTCATAATCGCAGGTTATTTTGATCAGAATTTCAGAAAATCGATCAGTTTAATAATTGTATCTATTTTTAAATTAATTAAATCTCAAGTTCTTGTTGTTTTTGAGCCAATTGCTCACTTAACATCAGAGTCTCCATGTCTCGAATCGATGCCGCTCTCCAAATATACAATTTGTGATTGAATAAACAATTATCCAGTCTTGCATGAAGTACCAAATGGTGATTAAAACCAATGCAGTGCAATCCATTTTCATTAATTTATGGTAGCAGTAGGAAAATTCGTTATGCGCGGAACAGATGTTAAGTGAATTAGAGGCAAAGTAAAGGCAAACATTCGCTTTGAAATCGATACTGGAATGGTAAAAAATATGAAAGTCTTACCGTTCTGACTTTGGGATCACTTTTGGCTTTGGTGGTGAGTCTATGCACTCTCCATACTTTACTAAACATGGCGCCGAACGAAAGCGTGAATCCCGTGGATAAGAGCCACGCTCTTGTTTGACAAATGGCGGGATAGGCACCTGGGGATACGAATCTACCATCTAAACCGAGGAGGAAAACGGCCGTTAAGCATACTACAATTCCGAAAAGCATTATTGTATTGCATACTGGATGCGAAGACTGGATTACTCTGGAAAATAAATCGATTGCAAATCACCGCTTGCAAAATTGCTAGCAAATTGTCGGTGGGTGTAAATGCGCCTATAATCGGACTAAATGTGAATATTGCATAATATCCAAATATCTGCATAAGAGGATTGATAATGAACTAAACAATAATAAAAGGGGTGATTTTCCATTCAATTGCACCAATCATTTCAATTCAAGTTGCAACTAATTTTAAAAAATGAGCACTTATTTCTGATACACTCTATGGTCTGTATACTTATCAGGTGACTCAAGTTTTATCCGCACCCTCCAAAATTCACTTTCAAATTAAACGAAAATTGTTAAAAAATTTGGAATAGAAAAATATTTTGTCCACTTTTTTTATTGTTTACTTGTGCGATCAATCTTTTGCTTATACCTATGTTTACTTTGATACCAGTATTGCATAAGTATTTTTTACAAATAAGTTGTTAAATAGCTCTAGGGCAGCATTCTCAAGGTGTGAGGCGCGTAGAATAAATGAACAAAACACCAATATTTTTTACATTTTTAGTCAAATTAAAATTTGCAAAAATAAAATCCACTAAAAACTTAATAACTCAAATCAAAATATAAAACTTTTCTAAGAAATAGATCTAAGATCTAATGGGTAATGAAATGACTATGTGCCTGCTTCCAATTACAGTTTCTCGAGTTGGTTTGATATTTAAAATAGACACTTTAGGTCTTTATTTTCTCATTGAAGTTTGTTTCTATATTTTGATTTTAAAGAAGTTACAGCAGAAAAATCAATTTTGCAAAAGTAAGAAATGGAAAAAAGTAACAGTATGCAAAATGTTTTTGCTTTAATAAAAGAATAATAATTAGAAAACAGTTCAATCCAGAAATTTGATAAAAACCTCCAAACAAAATGTACCTTTTCTGTGCTATTTAGAAGATCTACTCGTAACATTTGTTCTCCTTCTTGCAGTGATTGGTTGGTAGGTCTATTCTCAAATGGATATATTACCCAATTCAACACACAATGAGACATTTTCTTCTATAAAAATGTGTTTCCAGAAATTTGTGTTTACGATTTGTAAATGACCTTCCACTGTTTTCAGAAACACTTTTTTATCATTTTCATCGAGTGGGTAATCCTTACACATATAGGCAACATATCAAAGCAATTTTCTTTTAATTTGCTGTTTTGCTGTATTTTCCAGGAAAAAGGCAATGACGTTATCACTCAAATCAAATATATTTGCATTATTTTCCTAAAGTTGAAGATTAAGTGAATTATGTTATTCGAATATGTCTTACAAAATAGGAGAGTTTCACTAAGAATAAGTTTCGTAGAATGGCAATGTTGCCATGTCGACTCTAAAAATCTGCGTATGTGGTCCACCTTATGTTTGAGGAAAAATTTCTCACAATTTATGCTATTTGGCTCTTGACCATTGTTGACGCTTAATTCCTCAAAGACATTTGTGGATTTTCTTCAGTTTTTAGTATTTTGGGTCAGTTTCTCTTGAAGATTTATTACTACTTCATTAATTTTTGTTTCAATTGAAATTTTCGGTTTTGATCCTCTTATGCATTTTTGATCAGTTGATATAAAAAACAAGTTATGTAGGTAATATTTCTTGGTAAAATCCTTTTTTACAATTTTTTTTGACCCACATAGTACACATAAAAAATTGGTTATACCAATACCAATACCATATGTGTCTGTATATTCATGTTTAAGGTGAAGAATTAACTATACTTCATATGAATTTTTTGAATACTAATTCTCTTTCCCCACTCGAAAATATCTTTTAAAAAACTTATTCTCTCGAATATTCTGCACGCAAATATTCCTGAACATAGCAAGCATTTAAACCCACCGACCGCTCCGCTAACCACCTCACCTTCTATGGTTATTCCAAATATTGAAAACGACCAAACCGATCGCAATGACTATACCCGCACTCGAAATAACACACATGCAAATAAAAAGTGGCAAGGTAACAGTCCGTAATACAGTTCGTATGATTGTTCTGTCTTGAGGCACTTTTCCACCTGCAATATAAAAAAAACACAAGTCACTAGATGAAACATTTATTCATAAATGTAGTCTGTCGCCAGTTCAGCAGTCTTACCACAGGAGAAAAATAGCAAAATTGATTTTATTAGTGTGGCGAGTGAGCTGAGACTGGAACAGATCAACCCTATTCCCTCTTGTGTCGAAAGGTCAGAAGTTGGAGGTTGTATTATTAGGACCTCGTATTGTTGGCCAGAAATATAAACTTTACTTTTATTTATTGAGACAGATGTAAACCCACACAATGTTCTGTTCTTGCTTGATGAAATTTTCAAACAAAATCGATTCTAATTAATTGTGGTTGCAAATATTTAACACATATATTGTTCACTTATAATTTCAAAATATCGAACAGTTGATGGTAACAAAACACTAATTAATTTACTTGTTTGTCTACGATATTATTATTTTTTTCTTACAAATTATTCAAAAACATGTTTTAGAATTGCTGTTATGCTAATGTTAATGGCTTTTTATCCTTTTTAAGTGCTTCCATTTTATTATTATTAAATTTTTCATAACAGCACAGCAGCGTAATTCCTCAGTTAATAAGTTAACATAATGCAATTTTAAATACTTTACTATAAATAGACTTAAACAGACTCGTCGCATCGCAGTGTTTAAAATTGAATAATAATTTTGTAAAATATTTAAGAGATGTTTTATTATTTTTTATTTGAAAAAATGCATAAACTAAATGTCAGTGATTTAATCAAGAAGTGTGATTCCTTTCAATATTTTTCTTAACAACAGAACAAAAATTATATCTTTACCAAATTTAACCAAGAAGAATATTATACATTTTGGAATAATAGACAAAATTGTACAGGGTGTTATGTCTGGACGAACCAAAACGCCCTGATAAAGTGGAACTGTAATTATTGTAGACAGGGTGAACAACAAGTATAAAATCAAGCACTTTTTTTGTACATATAATATAAACAAAGTTTTTTCTACAATATTTCATTTAATTAATTAAAATACTTCAAAATTTAGTTGGCATACTAGAAACTGGTCAAATCCTGTCAGATTCAAAAATGTTGTGCAGAAATTATAGTGAATTTACACCATTTGATTTGCAAATGTTTTCTCACACTATAAGATTTTGTCGAAATTTATAAAGGGGCTCGCGGCTTTGCCGCTCGCTCCCCTAGTTTAGTTGGCATATTTCTGTCTCTGCATGATGAGCACTTCACGCACTGCTGTGATTTAGCATCCTTATTAAAAAAAAATGCTAACTTCACATATGATTGTAAAAATAAATTGTAGAAAAATATTAAAAAAAAAGATTAGCTGACAGCCTGTATGTAACGTCGCTGCAACACATTAAACTTCTAAAATATCGTAAAACGCCTTAACTTGGAAATTTATCTTAACTTTCATTAATATGCATATCACGTCTTTGGAGATAAATCAGAAATATGCTACAAGTGATTATGTTATCTTGCAAAAGTAGGTCGTGGATAATTTTGTTCTAACTTGCATCGTACCAAAAGTGGAATCATAACCAATTAAACGTAAATAAAATAAAACATCTGAATAAAAGCTATTACGGGCATAAAAGAAAATCTTTTATAGCTTTGATCACTCTTGATGAAGTATTGGATAAAAAACGACGTGAAAGTAATGAAACATGCGCTTGATTGATCACCTCTTGGTCATTAAGGCAATTTTTCAACTAACTTTAATATTGCCTATGTCATCAAGCAAGAAAGTGGATCTTTAGTCAACTCACCTATAAAAATAACCCTCAAGGATATTGTTTAAAGCAAGTTTACATTATTTTTTAAGATAAACTCCTGTTTACACAGTGCCTAACGCAACAACAACAATACTTATAGTTGATAAATATTCATTATGTGTAAACAGGACGATTCCTGTGTAACTTTCTCAGCGCTGTGTGCAAAATTTATCACGTAACATAAAGCTTGCATCCTTTATTTTTCTTCCTGAAAAGTATTTACAGTAATTGTATCCATTAAGTTTTGCTTTCCGGTTTTCACGTAACGAAGAGACGACTTTACGAGATTTTCCTCAAAACGCGCTTTACAGTAGCAATGTCACATTCACTCGAACTTTTGATGCATCTAAGCTCTCCACTTTAGAGGGAAAATAACCAAGAAAAATTTATGGTTCCTTTGATGTTTTAATGATTCTACATTAAGCACGGCTCGCTTCTCTTTCTTAATTTGAAAGTGCATCAGCGGTTGATGACGAAAATGTGATTTAATATTCTGTTTTTGATTTTGTTAATGTCAATGCTGACGTAGGCGCAAAAATTTACTTGGTTAAAAATTAAAAGTTTGCAGGAAATTGCAAAATTTAAGTACCAAAATCTAATAAACAAAAAATATGTTTGTTTTTGAAATACATGACATTTCAGGTTTTACAAAAAAATCAAAGATTAATTTTTGCACAAACAAGCAAAAACCTTTTACGTAGTATTAAATTTAAGACAAAATCTTTTCGCTTCTTTTTTTTGTAATAAAAATTTTGAAAAATCTGTTTAATTTAAATTCTTCCAGACCGAAATTAGTGTTAACCTATTCGTCGTTTCCGGTCAAAATAAGACTAGTGATAAGAGTTTTGAATGAATTATAAGCCTGAAAACTTGGCAAATCTAATGTATTTCAACAGAATAAGAATCTAAATCCCCGTTTTCAGACAAAATAATACGAATTAAGCAATTTCTAATTGGTTTGGCTCGATTTAAAGCCAGAAAAGCTTGTAAATCAATGTGTTTTATATTGTTAAAATAGTGGTTTAAAGCCAAAACATTTTTAGTATTAGTAATAGAATAATAGAATTGTCCATGTTATTAAAAAAGACTTTGCTTTACGATATAAACTATATTTTATATTTTCAAATTTAAAAAGTAAATTTAAGACCTTTTAACTTAAAAACACCAGAAAATAGATACAAATAAATGTAAAGTACATATTTTGAAAGTAAAAATAAGAAGAAGTAAAATGTATATTTCTTTTAGTTCGAAAAGAGCTTTATTGTTATTATTTCTTCTAATATAATCTTGTCTTCAAGCGAAAATTCTTCTTTACGAATCGAGTGCAAAAAACATTTTTTGCACTTGAGCGCATTATTTAAGGCACAAGTGACGAAATGTCAATACCAAAAATCGACAATATTTAGCCTGTGAGTCTGAGCAGCTGGGTGTTTCAATTTAGTCACGTCATCAGTGAGTACAATTAGTTTAATGACGCTTCTATAAATTATATTTTCATATGTAAGTATTTTTTACATTTTGGTAAGTTTCCTCAAAGTTCCAACTTTGAAAATTTAAATATTGAAAATTTAACAACTATTAAAAAATGTTTTTAACATAATACAGTGTCAAAAAAACGTTAGTGTTGAGGACGTATGTCGCATGACATTTTGCATGTTAGCTAAGTGTCAAAAATTATATTATAGAAATAAAAATCTTGATCTAAGCAAATTTAATTATTCTATGAAATGTTTCAAACGTTTCAAACAAATTAAATAAAAATTAATTTGGCATTTCTCATTTGTCATTGAGACATTTCATCTTCCGCAGACACACGTTCTACATTTCTAAGCTTGCTTGATGGAAAGACCTTTTGATCACACAGTGTAAAAAAACATAAAAAATAGACTAAAAAAATATAGGGTAAATATGGTACCTATTAAAAAAAAGTATGATCATCTTATAATTGTTCAATTTAATTAATTGTCGATAAAGCAACA